ACAATCATTGAAGTAAAATGAACAGTCTGACCACTTTGCTTTTCGAACATGTGCTTCAATGAAACACTTGTGAGAGGCAAGGGGACTCACAGTAATCAAGCACCCCGAAGGGAACAAATTACTACTAAGTACGTCCACGTCGTTGTTCCTCGGTAAAGCTAAAAGTAGTTTAAGAATGCATTGCAGGAGGGTAGACGGTGTCACATGATAGCATTTTCAAAATTATCAAAAAATTTACTTTGATGTTCCTAATCTGATGTGTATTGTTTTGAGATGTTACCATTTTTCAACAATTTTCAACTCATTTTCATTTTTGCCGATTACAGCGCCATCTATCATGAAACGAAAAAAATGTCTCATACAAAAGTTACATATTTTTTCACGGAGAATCCAAATCTGCAATAAAAAATAGGGGTTTCTATTTAAGATTTCAAAGTCATCCCCCCTCCCGCCCCCGGGGGTGGTGCAGGGGGTCGAGCTTTATGTTAATGGATGTCCCTCTTCGAGATGAACAACTTTTATTGCAACTTTTTTTTAATCCGATTTGTATTTTTTCAAATATTCTGAAAAACAGTTTTAAATGCCTCACCCTGTATATAATATTACTTATAATATGCGAATTTTCTTCTTACTTTCTCAAACTTTACCGTTTAGAAAAAAGTAATGCGAGAAATTATTCAATTACTTTTAAATTCTTCTCATTATTTTTCCTGTAATTACAAACAGAGATTATACGAGAGAAAGAAAACATATATGGGCATATTTTATATTGTATATTTTTTAGTTTTGTATAAAAAATTGTTTACCGGTGGGGTATGTGTGTACCGTACAAAGTGAACTTGCAGTGCGACAAAAGATATCACTACCTTGTAATATATACCAAGTGCACAAATGAGCAACCGTCCAACATTTCATTTCACAATATTATCTTTTATTGCATATTTTTATTACATTTTATTATTGTGTGTCTCCACCGCTAGCCCTATTGCCATACTGATGGCTCTACTGCACAGGTAATCCATTATGCACAATTATTTGTCTAACACGTTAAACATGTTTATCAATAATGCACGGTAATACTCACTTTTTGATGATCGTATGTTGTTTAAAATGTATTCGTTATCTTCGATATGGATAAAGACGTAAAATTTGCGATCGAACGTTGCGTTTAATTTGTGACTACGACATTTGTAAATAAACGCAAACGTTGTATTAAACCGCACGCGTATACTTTGGCAATAATCTCTTCATACGCGTATCTATTTATAATTAATTACAGTAAAACCGACTGTGCAATCGGAAAGACAGTGATTCCTTATGAGACATAAGAAAATGACATTATGTTAAGAAAAAGGATGTTGGAAAAACATTTTTCTGGAGTTAGGTATCGCGAGAATTGAAAAAGAATTTGTATTTAATAAAATAGATAAGATTGTATAAGCTCTAACAACAATAAATGATTATGGAAGAATGTACAATCTTCCGTCGTCGACTATAGTCAATGTACGAGCTAAAGTGAATGCTTGGCAGCCGTCGACTATAGCCGTCCTATTTTCGGAAAGATTTTGCCGTGTAAAGAATTGGTGGGCTGAGAGAAGATAGGTAGATTCATTAAATAGATTTAAATGTACCCGATACATTCGTGTCGATCTTCTTTGAGCCTCTTATTTCTTACACGATTAGTCCGAAGCAAAGGAAAACAGAAACGAAACAAAGAGGTGATTTATGATTAGCCATACAAAATTAATTTATTGCCGTAAAATGGATCAGTTTGTCACATTAAAAACATGTAATATTGCCAGTTGTAAGATCTATGGCTCGAGAATAAAAATAAGACGAGAATTAGAGTGAGCGAGATAGAGCGATATTTTATCAAGTGGCTGTTTTGGCTGCAAGTGAGGCAACAATTAACGCTCGAGATTCGCTCGCTCTCAAAATAATGGAATGACTTACAACCGAGGCAAGAATAATCGGGAAATACCCTGGTAGAAATATTTCACGGAAAATATGATAAAATTTTATTAAATGAAACGTACTTATTTTAAGATCTGTTTCAATTAAGCTTGTTGTCTTTCATCAATACAAAATATTTCAATAAAAATTTATTAAAAAATAATTTTTATTACAAAGCAATAATTTTTAGTTAAACTCAGCAAGTTTCATATCAACTATAATATTCCATACGTTTTTAATTATATTTCACAGTATTTTATATTGAATTTTGAATAACTTTTCAAAAGGAAAATTGTGACTTATTTTGAAATAGATTCAATAATTCTAGAATAACTTGCATTTCACTTTTCATTAATTTCATAGTACTTTCAGTAACATATTTCCATCAGGGCACTGTAAAGACTTCAAGATAGTATAATTATTATCAAGATTTATTATCGTATCAATATATTGGAAAATTTGTGTTTTCTTGTTAAAAAAAATATGTTTGTTAAAATTTATGTTAATATTCAACGTATTCATGTTTTGTTTTAACATATTGCTTGTTGTGTTAATTGTTCAAATAGTAAACTATTAAAAGCAAAAAAAATGTGTCAAAATAACACGATGCTATTAATTTTACACAATAGATATGTTTTGTACTATTAGTAATAAGATTTATCTGTTAAAATTTACAGAAAAAATGTTGATTTTATTCTGTAATATAAAAGTTTGAATTGTTGCATCTGAAAAATATATAATTCTTTAGTCAATGACTCTTTTTTAGTTAAGTCATAAAAAATATGTCGATTTTACACAAAATTTATTTTAAATTACTTTAAAGTTTGCATTCATTTTGTGCTGAAATATTAACATAATTTTTTTGTGTCGCCATTTAACACGTTTATATTAGGTTAAATGCAAAATTTGAGTGGACCATTGGAATATGTGGTGTCTATCAAGTTTAACACAAATTTTTCAACTGTGTGTATCTTCGCAATTTTCATTAAGGAGTCACGTTCTCTTTCGATTCTACCGTCAGGTATTAAACACTCTGTGTGGTACAATTAAAGTTAGGATTATTGACCGCGATTGATTCAGATCATGGAACGTAATATTGTGGACCCACCATGTTCTCTGTGAATTGATAAAGCCAGCAGAACCGACAATGAGAGAGATAGAAAATAAAGGTGCTCTCATGCTGCTATGTTTAAGCTTAATGTCGTTCGGTGTGTCTTTGACTCAAAAAGATAATTTTGACAGCTGTAGAGAGAACATTTTCGTTTACATTGTCCATTTTATAGTTACAAAGAGAAGAATATTTTTGTTTACGTATTTGTTTACGTTTACGTTTTCGTTATTATAGTTGCAGAGAAGAGAACATTTTCGTTTACATTTTCGATTTTTTTTCAATTTACAACGTGTTCATTTTTAGACTACTTGTGAAAGAAGATTTTTTCCTCGTCGGGTTACTTTTTAAACCGCATACAACAGGTTTCTACTTTTCACACGTTGCAAATTAAAAAAAAGCCGAAAATGTAAACGTAAATTAAGAATATTCTTAAAGTCGCCAGCAGTAATTATAAATTAATAACATCGGTGATTTTTGTCGACCGTGTCTGGCAACTAAAATTCATATTGCGAAAAATATTACCCCAACCAGGATTCGAACCTGGGACCTCCCTGCAATCCGTGACGGGCGTCTTAGCCAGCTCGACCACCGGGGCTGTGATAATACTATTCAATTGCCAGACACAGTCGACAAAAATCACCGATGTTATTAATTTATAATTACTGCTGGCGACTTTAAGAATATTCTTAATAGTTGATTACACCAAGGACCGAAAAACTTGGTTTTCCTCCGTTAGGGGGAATGGGATCAGGGAGAGGGAAGGGAAAGGGAAATTCAAAAATCGCGTATCGATAAGTTATTGTGCGGTCGACAATCCGTATCGACGCACAGTTTCTGAAAAAGTCGAAATAGACGCGTAAACAACATCTTAAAGTTATATACACGTTATTGCGAATAGTATTATCACAGCCTCGGTGGTCGAGCTGGCTAAGACGCCCGTCACGGATTGTAGGGAGGTCCCAGGTTCGAATCCTGGCTGGGGTAATATTTTTCGCAATATGAATTTTAATTGCCAGACACGGTCGACAAAAATCACCGATGTTATTAATTTGTAAACGAAAATGTTCTTTGTTCTGTAACTACACGGAAAGAAAAAAGTGGCTGCCGATAGCTAAAAACTGCATGTAGCAACTAAATTTCAGTTGTAAAATATAAATAGCTAATATTTAGTTGTAGTAGCTGAATATTTTGCTACTGTGCCTATTGTATTAGGCGCGACAGCCAACCGTTCCCAGATAGCACAAGATGTCCTCAGGATCATCCTGAATATGTCCCAGGATGTCCTGGGATCTTTTCAGGATACAGTTGTATTACTATAAATATTTTATAAAATTTTATATAAATATTTTATGTATAAATTTGACTTCTTAAGCAATTTTAGAATGTTAAGTACTGTAATAAGTATCCAGATATAAAAAATAAGAATTTCTCAAATCCTACTCATGTCCAGGCTGTCCTAAGCAGCATCCCGGGATATCCTGAGGATGTATTGCACTCCAGCTGAAAACGCTAGTAAATTCAGCTTAAGGTATTGTATAACGAGCTTTATTAGTTATAAAATGTCTGAAGAGGAACTTAAGATGATCTTAAATATAATATGATGACTATGAATACCGGACGTTATAAGTAGCAGAGAAGATGAGATTATCTTGGCGATATTTTTCATTTCTTTATGAATATCGTCGAAAATATAAGGTGTATGAAAATATTTTTTAAACAAAGCTCTTAAACTTGTGCGTTGAAAAAGTTTTTAATTTTTTTTAAATAATGGGATGGGGTAAATAAAAAATTTGACATTTTTGAAAAATGTAATTACGCCATTGTGAAGACTATGAAAAACAATGAAATTTTTGTCTAAAACATTTTTTCATAAACCTTATAGTTTCGAAGATATTCATTTAAAAATGGAAAAATCCGTTATTTTTGAGGGGCTGTTTCACCCCCTAAACGTCGAGAAAAACCGCTAAGAAAAATACGAGTCTAATATTTCTTCATGCTCTACAACATATCCGCAGCGCATCGAAATCGGTGAGGGACACTTCCGACCGTTCCCTTGTAAGTGAGACGCGTTTGCTATTCCTCGGGGTGTTCTGAGGAGAGGGGCTAAAATTAGGATGTCCTTGTGCTATTTGGATTTGCTGTGGTTAAGAAATTTATAGTTATGAAAATATTTTTAGCAAACTATGATTAGCTACGATAGCGAAACATTTTTTCAGTGTATAATAACGTAAACGTAAACAAAAACAAACACATAAACAAAAATATTATTCTCTTTGTAACTATAAAATGGAAAATGTAAACAAAAACGTAAACGGAAACATTCCTCTTTCTAAAATTATAAAAACGAAAATTTTCTCTCTGCAGTTGTCAAAATTGTTTATGTATCAAAGACACGCCGAAGAACATTACACTTGAACGTAGTCACATGAGAGCACCTTCATTCTCAGTTTCTCTCAGTTCTGCTGGCTTCATTAATTCACAGAGAGCATGGTGGATCCATTCCATTTATACGTTCATGATTCAGATTGTCAAATCTACAAGATGTAGAAATTGGCAGGAATATTTTATGAATCTCAAGTATTGAGATCGGCGTTTGAAATCGGCGTTTTTGTGACCTCTTTTTCACATCTCGCACTTGTTTCCTCGTGCTTTTTTATTCGACGGAGGAGAAGCTACAAGCTATTGGAAATCGTTCCACGATTATACCACGTTTAAAGTGAATTAGTTCGATTTACAATTCGACTATTGAATATGCAAAGAAATTTGCGTAATGTGGTGGCGTGTTTGCTGTTACACCACCAAGAATACGGTTTACATGGCGCGTTTTGCAATTACAGTCAGGGCAAGGGTAGATTCGGCGTCACCAGGAGCTTTATCGCGACCAGGAGCGGACTTCTGCGATGGCACGAGCATCAGCAGAACGAGGGGAACGCCGAGGAACCGTGAGCTTGTTTTTAACAATAAGACTTATCGAATAAATATCGTGCCAAAAGTCACATATGCGTGAAACAGTACCCAGTAAATACCAACTAACGGTTGCATAATATCAACATTATGATTTTTCACTCAACAATATAAATGTAATATAACACATGCTACTGTTATATTGTTGAGTAAGAAATTATAATAATGATGTTATGGAACTATTAATTATTTGCCGGGTTGTTGAGTCGTCGTTCGAAGAAATTTTGGAAAAGAGACGTTACGCGTCTTAGTACCGAATTAGTATGACTGGTATTCTAATGACGTTTGCACGCAGGCGGTTTGACGAAAGACATTCGAGAGCCATGGATTCATCGTGGTACAAACGCGCGGTGGATCAACACTCCATAGAGCCGGAAAGCTTCGTCTTCAGCGTGCCGTTTGACGCAGGTGAATATACGTATTTTTATTTATAATATCCTGTAAGCGAGGAAAGTATCTACAGAGAGAACAGTTTTGCTGAAATATCTAAAAACTAAATTATGCCGAGCATTTAAGCTAGTAACTAAAATGGCACTTGAGTGAAAAGAACGGCTTTGTTAAAGCATTAAAAAATTTAACTAAATACAGATCTAAAAATAATTGATATTGAACCTGTAATATACGTGGGATCAATGACTAAGTGCGGGAGACTGGGTTACTGTAGAAGAACACCTTTTGGTTTTATTACTGAGCTACCAGTCCCGGACTACCTTAATTGTCGCCTGGACTCCTTACATGTAACTGCCGTCGTCTCGCATGCTCTGTTCACGCGTACTCACGCATACTTACGTGCGCTCGCTCACTCATACGCGTACTCATGCGTCCTCTCATACATTCGCTATTTACATACATTATAACTCCCCTCTTTTTAGTTTGACTGTTGTACGTTGTTAGCTAATCTTGGCGATCGTCGCACCGCACCAGACACGTTACCGTCTATGCGTTTACGCTTCACTTTCTCCTTTGAAGCACTGACACTTGAGTTTGCACTTTTACACTTTTTGCTGTGGAGATTCACAGAATCTTCTCGCTCATTGCTAATACTATTATCATATGCATAGTTGTTGCCAAGCGCCTCCGATTCCCCTCTATCTAGTTGAGGCTTTAACGCCGTACGAACAATTTGGTTCATGTGTCTTTGGTTATAAAACCATCTGCAAACTTGACAGTATACATACATTGCTGGTGAACTTTGTTTGACTATAATTGCTCGTGCGTTTTCGGGTGTGTCCTTACGATAATCTCTTGCATATACGATATCGCCTACGAGAAATTCTATATGCCTATTTCCGTGTGTAAAGCGGTGTTGATCGAATTGATGTGCTTCTACGGTGTGGCGTGTACCGCCCACGATTAGGTCGAATCTAGTCTTTAATTTACGCTTATACATTAATTGCGCTGGCGATACTCCTGTTGAACAATGAGGAGTATTACGGTAATCTGCTAAAAATCTGTTTAGAGAAAATTCTAAAGAATGACCATCTTTCATGATTTTTTTTACTTTACTAG